TTTTAAGATGTTGATATATGTGTTTCTCGGAGGTCACAGCTTCGGATCTAAACACTGTCCATTTTGAATCTATTCTATTCCTTTTTGTGTTTAAAAGTCATGAATGAATGATCACATCACATGGAATGTGGCCTATGGACCGCCACTACATTTGATGGGGATCGTTCACGGAGTTGCTGAAAGAAACCTCATTAGTAAAAAAAAAATGTCTGGTGCTCGTCTCGTCGTCGTCCGTTTTGTCCATTCAGAAATCAGAAATCATCGAGTAGTGGCGGAGAAAAAAAGCTGTGGTCATTTTCAATTTTCAATTTTCAACAATTTGACATTTCCAATTGTACGGCTAGATAAAGCATCTGGTCCACCACTTAACGTCGACGACCTGTTCAACGGTTTAGATCTATCATCCACTGGTCGCGATCTGAGCTACCGACCTACCGTTAACAATGGTTGTCAGGACCCGGGGGCCATTCAATATTCATGTCGGGCTGCTCTACTTAGGCCAGCACCTGGTTTTGCCATGTGATTTCTTATGCGGTTGCAGTTATGATTTTGCCTTCTACGGTATTTGGGATCGATGCTGTTTTTTGATTTCTGAAAGACGTTTTTACAGAAAATGGTGCTGTATAAATATGTTGTTTTTTAAAAAACATTTTCTCAATTGCTGCTACATAGGTATTTTTAAGAAAGTGTTACCGTAAAAAAACAGACCACACCTTTTCCAATTTTTTACAGCGTGGTCTGAGAAAACATTCTTAAAAAAACGACTTATCAAACAGCATGCATTTTATTGGAAAATGGATTTGTGACGTAGCGCTGACACCTAATTAGGAAGTCTGTATAATTCGGACCATTGTATTCGGATTCGTGTTTGCCCGTCAAAATTGGAAAGTTCAAACATAATTCTGAATCCATTTTCTTTAAAAAATATTAAAAAAAAAACCATGAACGTCCCAACAAGTCATTGTAGCCGTATATTAGAGGCATCTCGCCACAAATGATGTTTTTTCATATACGGTTGCGATGGCTTGTTGGGACTTGGGACGTTCTTCAGATCAGATCTTACACAATTGGGATTTATTCTCAAATACAAATAGTTTCTCACACGAGTTCCGCTTCAGTCACGGCAAAGTCCATTCAAGCGCTTTACTGATTTGTTACGATAAAAGCCGATCTCTTCTCATACCAATTTACGATTGTTGTAAGAGAACTCTGTTATGAATAGATTCTTAATTGTGCTCCAGTTGCACATCTAAGTGAGTCCGCGTTCTATGGGGTTCATGAGATGCGTTTTCCGTGAATCCGCCAATTAGAGGAGACCACGTCGGCTTTTTGCAGAATCACTAACTCTAACGGGTGTTCAGCCGTTAGCTGATTAAATCACCTGAAAACAAATAAAAACGCAAAAAAAAAAAAAAAGTGTGAATAGACGGCAAGAAATCTGAGCTCTCCCCTCCCCATCTCTTGTCCTCATCTCCTCCGAGACCTAACCCATCCTTGACTGTGCAACGGCGGCAAGAAATCTGGGCATTCCAGCAGGTATGGTATTTTTCCTTCTTCTTCTTCTTGGCATCTTTGGTCCATGAGTTCAAATTCGTCGGAAAGAGATGTACGCCACCGTTCTCTGCTTCAAGTAACTCACATTTGATCTATTGAAAAAAGAAAACCATAAAAAACATTAGGGAGGAATAAGAACAACCAGAAAATGTACCGTCGGATGAAAGCCCTCTCGCTGCACTGGTGGCTTTTGAGTTGACTAGCACCGGTGTGTTGGTGACGGGATCTGTTACTCACAAATGGGCGCCTCACATGCACATCCAATATGCATTGGGAACATCTCCCATGAATAATAACAAATAACTACGGAAGATGTTCCCGGTGCATGGTAGGATGTGCCTGTGAGGCGCCAGGTGTGAGGAGCAGATCTGGTCTCTGTGGGTTGAGTTTGCTGGTGCTTGTGGGATAGGGTTCGTGGAAGAGAAAATTGGGAGTAAGAGTTTGAATATGGTGGATTGTCATTTTGTATTTGATTGAATTGGCTACTTCAGGCTAATGGCCAAAGGCCCATTAACATTACCCTCAATGTTACCCAAACTACGTGATCTCCTATGATTGGCGGGTTCACGCATCCCATGAACCCCATAGATGCATAGAATGCGGACTCCATCTAAGCGTGTATTGGGAACATCTCCCCGATAAGCACAGAAGATATTCCCAATGCACGTTGGGATGTGCATCAGTGCATGTGGGGGCATGCCAGTGGTGCAAACGGATCAAATCATGATTCAATCCGATCCTATTTGATCGAATTCGGGTCACCCCTGTTTGGATCATTGAGTCGAATAATATGATATGGCCATAAATCGGGTCGGGTTAGAACCACCCCTTATCTAATCCGTGAAGATTCAATCCGATATATATTATATATTTATAAATATATATATAATACACATATATATGTTATCTATTTATTTATTTATAAATATATTTTTATATCATATTTTTATAAATTTGTTACATTATTTATTTTAATAAAAAACATGTATGTATATATGATGAAAATAATTAAAAAGTACCTATATTTTTTGTTTTTTACTTTATTTAAATTAGTATATCTTATTTTTCTTTTAATGATTTATTATTTTTTAAAGAAAATAAGCCAAACTGGATTGGATCCAAAGATCCGACTTATCGATAAAATTCAAATTCAAATCAAGTCCTATCAGATCCAACTAGATATTCAGATTGGATTGGATTTGGCATGAATAGTGTCGAATTGGATTCAAATATACATTGATTCGAAACTGATCAGATCCATTTGCATCCCTAGGGCATGTTTTGTGGGGAATGGGGAGTTAATCTGAATTTTAAGTTTTAGGACAAATCTCTTAAAGTACTAATTTTTAGGAAATTGACCAACTCCACTCCTGCTATTTAGATATTGTCTTAAATTACCTTTAGTTTTTTGGACAATTGATTCTATCATTAGCATTGTATCCATTCACATGTGACACTATGTGATATGTAAATTTTTTTTAAAACCCAATATTACCCTTTTGTAAATCGATTTTTCCTTTCATCAAATTTCAAATTATCAAAATAAAACTAAATATTCACCTTTTAAACAATAACACAACCTTCAACATTTACTTGGTTGAAGGTCAAGAACGCAAATGGACATGGGACTAACCAGAGTTAAAAGATGACATCCTCAAAAGCTAGTTTTTGAGTGGGAGATGATCCCTCCTACTCACCTACTTAGAGTACTTTGCAGCAACAGAGAGGGAAATGATCCCCCATTTAGTTATTGGGTTGGAAATAGTTTTATTGGACATCTTTATCCAGTAGAAAGCTTTACCAAATAGTCAAATACCAAGGGAGAAAGTTTGTCATGTGAAGAAGACTTATACGGTGTTATTCAAATCATGGTTTCCAAAATCGGATCGGACCAGAAAAACCAGAAAACCGGTCAGGTGACCGGTTCTGTTTTACCCAAAACCGTTATTTCTCCAAAACCGCTGATTTGGCCAGTAAACCGTTGACCCAGGTCAAACTGTTTGAACCATTTGAATCATTCAACAGTTTGGTCGGGTTTTTTTTTTTTTTTTTAATTTTATTATTTTTTGTCAAAATGGGCCGTTTGTTCAGTTTGAATGATCAGACTGTTTGACCCGAGAATCGGACCCCTGACCAGTTCGTTGTTTGGGTCGATTTTAAAAACCTCGATTCAAATGTTACATTTCAAAAATTTAAAAAAGAATGACATATTAAATAGTATTTTTTCATCTTTTTGTTAATAGACACCAATGACAGGGAAAGATTTAACATCCATTTGGTTCATAATTGGAATTGGAATCAAAATCTTTAAAAATTAGAATCAAAATGATTTATTTACATAACCTATTTGGTTCAGATAGGAATCGAGATAGGAATTTGAATAAATTGGAATAAAATTTAGTTCTCAAAGTTGGAATCAGAATGGCACATTCCAATTCCGCTTACAGCTATTCGCAAACCAAACGTAACCATAGTCAATTGGTTCTGCATAGGCTCCATATGTAGAGAACAGTCCGTACACGTTTTTTTCCCCTGCAATTAACCCAGACTCCATTCCGGCCGCAGATCGGGAACATCTCCCTTCATTGCCGATGTGTGGCTTGATTGTCTTGTTAACTTCTTAATCGTCATTAAGTGAATTACTGGACTACAGCCATTATAGGACCGCAGCTGTCCAGAGGAGATTCTACTGGACTACAGCCATTATAGGATCGTCATTAACTTCTTAATCGTCATTCAGGGGGGCCAGTTTAGGTCTCCTCCACCCCCTGAACTGGTCAGACCCCTGATATACCCACCATAGGGATGTATCAAGAGGTCCTGAAATAATATATATTGGCCGATATATGTTGATACTTTGAACCTTATTTATCAGTATTTGGATAGTTGAAAAAAAAATTATATGACACTCAAAAGATATTTATGTATTTTCAAATATCACTTTTAACGCTGATTAAGAGATTGGTTAACAACAGATACTTAGATTGGGCACGTTTTGGAAATTCCTATACTAAACTTTCACATTTTAAAGTTTGGGGAGACCAAAGTGGCAATACCCCATAATACAGGGTATTAATCTGAAAATTTCCCTATTATATAACAGTTCGCGGACAAGACATCCCTTTGATTCTCTCCTCTCCTTATCATCAACTCCTTTTTCATACGATCTTACGTCAAAGGGTAGCGATGAGTGGGACCCGCACTGTAAGAAAAGTAAGAGCATCATTTAATATCGTAGACTTTAAAGTAATATATCAGAGCTCAATGGGAGCATCAGCGGCTGGCAACGTCTCAATCAAGCCACACCATCCCGGGTCAAGGGTGAAGTTCTAAGATGCTGTTGTACGTGAGTAACTGGGGATCAGTAACCAACGAATATTTTGGTTAATATTTTAATCCCCGTTTGGAAGTTTTATATTGTATATAAGAGGAAAAGTAGAGGAATATCGAGACATTAATTGAATTCGCGTGGTTTGTATTGTGTGTCTGGTTCTTGGGCAGTACCTGGTTGGAGTCGATTCTCACTTGAAATCGCTCTGTTGTGTCCTCAGTCCTCCTGTGACCAAAACCAACCTGAAATGAAATTTAACTACAGCCACAACCACCGCCACCGCCACCGCCACCGCCACCGCCACCGCCACCGCCAGTAACAACCACCAACTACTACACTACAGTTTTCCAAGTGGAGCTGTTGGTTTTCTTCGTCTGATTTCCTCGTTCCTTGCTCATGGTATTGCCTTTCTGTTGTTAGGAAATTTGGTCTGCTTCTGCTTTTAGATCTTTGCATATGAATCCGATTTGCAAGAACCGCCAGACTTTGACTATGGAATTGTAACTGTTGAAGGGGTTTGAAGATTTTGTTTGATTGTGTGGAGTTTTTGGTATGTTTTTTTTTCGTTTGTGTTAGTGGTTTAGTCTTTTTATTATTCTTCGAAGTTCAGAGCTTGTAATTATCTGGAAATGAAGATTTTTAGATTCACAGGGATGAAATGGAGAGAAAGAAGAGAAAAGAGGTAGATTTTATAGTTACAGAATTCAGTCAACATATTCCATTCTTTGGTGGAGCTAACGAAACTCCTGAATTATCACTTAATACATTTCAATGACATGTGAAATCTAAAAATAAAAACAATTTATGTCCTTGTAGTCCTCCATGGTCATAGTTTCCGAAAGCTTTTCTCACAGTTGGTTGTTTTATCCTTGGAAAATACCCCTTAATTTTCTCTAATTTTTGTAATGTAGTTTTCTATTAGTTTGATTATTTTTGCACGTTGAAATCTTCAAGCGTTATAAGGTTCCATACCTTTGAGATTACTTATTTTAGTCCCCATTGTTTTCTTATTGGCGTCATGAACAATGAACATTGCCAATCTATTCAGTTTGTCGGTATGGGTTCTGTTGTTGTAACTAACTTTTTGATAGATGTTTCCCCATAAAAACATTGAATTAAATAAGAAAAAAAATCCTTTCACTCTATTATTTTAGTTTCAACACATTTGTGTGTGTTTACAATTGTACATCATGACCTGGTCTTTTTCATTTGTGTATTTTTTTCTCCTCTTTTTGTCTTTCTGTAGTAGGATGCATGATGATTGGATAGAGTTAAGAGGTTACCTCTAATCAATAGTAATTTTTGAAATTTGGAGGACATGAAATGGTTTTATGGCATTGGCAGAATGATAACTAGTAAATAGTAGCATAATGTAGACATGTTAGCACTTACTAGTAGTAAGTAGTAACTACTTGCATAATCTAGACCTGGATTTTCTGCGTTGTTTGGATAAAACCTTAATGGCATGGTGTTTATTTTTATTATATAGTTGAGAGGAGACAAACACATGCAGTGTGATTTTTTTTTTTTGATTGGTAAACATGCAGTGTCAATTTTCATGATCATATAGGTGAATGAGATAGAAATTCATAATGCAATTCTGGTGTAACCTGTTGTCTGATCTTATCAAGAAGAGCTGACATTCCAATTCATCTACATAGACTTGTAACCAAGAGAGCATGCAAGTGATGCCATTTAGTAAAACCTAAGGATGCAATGTTTTTACAATCACAACATTACATAAAGGGCTAAAGTTAAATGAATAGGGGTGACGGGGAAGATCCTGTTGGTTTCTCTGAAATCTAGATAATCTTTGGCAATGAAAACAACTTTCAAGCATTGTTGATGGACCCAACCTACTAGGGTCTTTGACACGTTGAAATTATATGAAAGTTAGTTACTCTCATGATCTTCTGGATCACATTATTAACAAAAGCCCGTGACCCCATGATTGTAGCATTTGGGTGATAGGTATAGACTTCAGCTAGGTACTTGCACACAAAAAAAGGGATCTTCACCGTTGTGATTTAGCGGGAACCCACCAAACTCCCCTTGAGTGTTATGGAGTTCCATTGTGTTTAGCATCAATCTTGGCTGTCATTGTACCACTACTGAAGAACATTGACATTGTGACACTGGATGATGTTGAGTTCCAAAAGTGAAAGATAAAGGACCCATCTATGGTTTTGGCTGCCCCATTATTGATAGTTCTGGATTTATATCAGAATACCTGGTAATTTATCTTAGAACAGAAAGTAGATACTGGCCTAAAATGACAATCTTTCAACATCTAAGAATTTTGGACCGCATTTTATCTGTGCAATCATAAGAAAAGAAGAGTTAAAATTATGTCCACGACTTTGTGGCACATGCAATTGGGAAAAAAAAAGAGGGAAAATAAAGAAGGCACATGTGGATACTTATTCCAGTCATAATGGGAATTTCTTGACTATGCATCACATTTGAAAAGTGAAATTATAATTGAGATACGATGGTTTACCATTTACCAACCAAGCTTAACCACTCAACTACATCTTTCTGGTGCCTAAACTATCCAGGTTGAAGCTTAAGACTAGAGATAGATTTCACCAAACAGTTCAATGACAACTTCATGTGTCCTAGTTCCTACTTCAGTGAGATGGCTCCATAGTTGAATATGTTAAAACGGATTGTCATTTACTCCAATAAACTTTGGGTTGATTTTGACCTTGTAACATAATCCAGGATCACATCTCAAATTATCATCTAATTGGTTATGCAAAAAAACCTTAGGGATGCTGTTGGTCATTCTTTTGTTTAGTAGATTAATGATTTTTGTTAACTGCACAAGTGTTGAAAAAAATGTATAATTCCATGACACAATGTGTATGATCCTTTTAATGGATTTATGCTGTGCATATAGGCTTTATTATTGCTTATCACCACTTATAATGCAATGTTTACTTTATCTAGCATAGCTGACTACTGTTAATCATCTCATGAGCATATGACCTACTTGATTCTACTTTGGTGCCACTTTTTGTTACAACTGATTCCTATAGTAGGATTGATGACCATTGGTGGCAAGATGTGGTTTCAGAAATTTGGGGTATCATGCGGCGGATGCTTTCTTTGAATTTGTTGGGATGATTAAGGGTTCAAAGGGAGGGGAGGGGGAGGAACAGAAGAAGTTGTAAGAATAACAGTAGTGATTTTATCGAGGCAAGCATAGAAATATTGGGGATTAAGGGTTCAAAGGGTTATCATTTGTTACTCTGCACATTGTGGTGCCATGCTTCATGGATCCTTTAACCTGCTCCCTTTTATGTGGTAAGAGTCAAGCTTTTCATTCTCTTATATGAGCTCCTTCCCGTTCTCCTTTATCAATACAAAACATTTTTTTTTCTTTAGCCATGATTAAAGTGACTTTGTTAATAATATATAACAGTGTAATAAGGGGGCCAAGTGGCTAACTGCACATTCTTAAGTGTAGAAGGCAGAATGCCATTAGGTTTCATTTATTTAAAGTAGGGGAATTTAAGGGGTAAATCAACAACTCATGCTTCATGATGAAGGTGATTACTCTGAATAGCTTTAGAAACCTTTCTCTGGATGTTGACTTTTCCTTTTTCTCATGTGGTTCAGATTCCACACATTCTACTCTCTCTAATTTTCTTTGTTCTTGCCCGTTGATAACTTCTCTGTTTTATTTATTTGACTAACATGAAACAGGGTTGTTTGTAATGGTTCTGCATCATAATTATTGTGCTTCATTATAAAGTCTAAAATGACTTATTTATTCCATGAAAGTAAATGTTTCTTTACCAAAGTAGTTCCATTGGAGATTTTGGATCTCAACCTTGTACAACTAAGATACAGGTGCCCTTGGTTTCCTTGTATGCTTAAGTTGCAAAATACCTTTCGATAGGTCTATCATAACCTTTTTCTTTATTAGTAACTATGAAGAATACAACACATAAAAGATAAGAAACTAAGAAGGATAGATGAAATTCTGGCTTACTGGTTTCTTATATTTTTGTGTGTCATAACATTGATATTTTGATGGGATCTTGAACCTTTTAGTCAAGAAATTGGAAAGCTTGGATGGTCATTGCTGTTCTGTCTGCAGGCCAAGACATTCTTACCCTTAATTGATTTCAATACTGTAAATCTTTTGACTTGCAATTTTCATTCAAATATTGTGGTTAGTGGCAGTTGGAATGGGAAGCAGCTTATTTTTAGTGGGCCTTGGAGCTTGTTTTTTGATTATTTGTTGCATGTCTTATGGGATTTTCATTTTTCTTTTCAATTTTTTTGCATTGGTATTTCCATTCATTTCATGTGGTTGATGGCATATTTTTGGTTTAAAAGCATATGTCATTAACTGTTCCTTACTGTGTTCTTGTTTTATTTTATCAGGTTGAAGAGTGAGAAGATTTTGTGAAGTCATTGCATTGTCCATATAAAGTGCTTTATGGTATCTAAAACTTGTCTTTCAGTATATGTGAATACCTAATTCTTATCATATAGTAAGTGGCACAAATCTTTTAGTCATTATGCATGTCTGGCCCTGTGGTACCTGTTGATAATGCTACAGGGGCACTTTCATGTGCAGAAAGAACTAGATCTCTTGATGCTATTTCAATAGGTGACAAAGACCATATTTCCAATGGGCAAGTTTCTCATGCATCTTTTGAAACCATTGGCTTTAGAGTTGGTGAGCTCTTACTTCCTAATGGAGAATCATATTCTGGGTCCTTGCTGGGTAACATGCCAGAAGGTTCGGGGAAGTATGTATGGGCAGATGGTTGTGTATATGAGGGTGAATGGAGAAGGGGGATGAGGAATGGAGTTGGGAATATCCAATGGCCTTCAGGAGCTGTTTATGATGGTGAATTTTCTGGTGGTTATATGCATGGTACAGGAACATATTCTGGACCTGATAACATTATCTATAAGGGACGTTGGCGGTTGAACCTTAAACATGGGTTAGGATGTCAGACTTATCCCAATGGAGATGTTTTTGAAGGGTCCTGGATCCAGGGAGTTATAGAAGGGCCCGGTAAGTATGTCTGGGCTAATGGAAATGTTTATCTGGGCAACATGAAAGGGGGTAAAATGTCTGGAAAAGGAACTCTTACTTGGACAAATGGGGATTCATTTGAAGGAAACTGGTTGGATGGTATGATGCATGGATTTGGCATATATGCATGGAGTGATGGTGGTTGCTATGTTGGAACTTGGACAAGGGGTTTGAAGGATGGAACTGGAGCTTTCTACCCAAAAGGTAATAGATTTCCAGCTGTACAAGAACTTTACCTCAATGCTCTCAGAAAAAGAGGGCTATTGCCAGATCTGAGAAAGCAAAATCATCACTCACACATCCGTCATGCTTCTTCTGTGGATATGGGGAATGTCAAAGTAAGCAGTAATCAGGGGTCACGTCGTGGTTCATATGATAAACTCTCCAAAGGAAACCTTATAAATTTTGAGCAATCTCGCTCCAGAAATTATTCCTTGGAAAGACGTTGGAGTCTTGAGGTATCTATTGAAAAAGTTATTGGACATGATTTGTCATTGAGTTCAGGAGAATCTACTTTAGAAGGTGATGAGAAAGATACCAAAATGAGTGCTCCAATCCTAGAGCGAGAATACATGCAGGGAGTTCTTATCAGTGAGGTTGTACTGAACAATTTTTCATCATCATCCAGAAGGGCAAGAAGGCGGCAGAAGAAACTTGCAAAAGAGGTCAAAAGGCCTGGTGAAACAATTATTAAAGGTCACAGGAGTTATGATCTGATGCTCAGCTTGCAGCTCGGGATTAGGTATTATCACTTTACTGATTTTTTTTTTCATTTTCAGCTGTTATGCATTTCCATCCTTCATGGATCCAGACTTCTAGTTCTTGGTGCATCATTAGTTCCTATCCTTGACAGATCTTATACATATTCTTCATCATTTCTTTATTGGTTTTAGTTTAATTCATCATTCAACTGATAAATTGTACTTGTCCTCATCTGACAGCTAACCTTTTGTCAAACTGCTCTTCTTGAAATAGATGAATGTCTTATGTTTTGTGGTGGTTTTACTGTTTTACTGTGAGTTATGTGTAGTTGAAAATTCAATATGCTTATGTTTTATAAAAAAAAAAAACTCATTAATATTGCATTTACCCATATCATTGAGAGCTTTAATGTTCAACTAAGACATTATCTCAGTGTCTAACCTCCCATTTTGTCATAATGCAGACCGCTAAACTGCATTGCCTTTATTTTACCATTAATATTACCCAAATTCAAGTATGAAATCCTTTACCTGTGGGGTCTCTGCAGGCTACATCAAGTAACTCTCAGTGTTCAGCTTGCCAGTAGTGAGTACTGAGATTTTACTTGGAACACGAAAACTTGTTCCTTAATTTTGAAATCTGGAACAACCAGAAAATACTTCCGCGAAATCTTCTGACAAAATTAAGCCATAACCAAGTCAAAAAACCCTATTGGAATAACCATAGATCTTTGTTACTATTTTTCTTGGAAAGGGAAAACCAAGCAATCCCAATGAAGGCTTCAGGTTAGGTGCCCCATCAAGGGTGCCTTGTTGCCTAGGCAGGCAAGGTTTTTAAAACCGGATCAGACAGGGAACCGTTTTGGGGTCTGGTTCCCAGGTTGAACGGTCTGATTGTCCGGTCCGAACAGAAGACCTGCTCTGAAAAAATAAAAAAATTAAAAACCCAAAAAACGACCAAAAACCGTTCCCGGGTCAAATGGTTCGACGGTTTGACCACCCGGGGTTTGTTGACCAAATCAACGGTTTTTGGCCAAATAGCGGTTTTGGGGTAAAACGGAACCAGTCACCTGACCGGTTCCTGGTTTTTCCGGTCCGGTCTGGTTTTGAAAACATTGTAGGCAGGCACCAAGGCAGATTCTTGACAACTATGTTTTGTTGCACTTTCATGACAATTAGGAATCTGGTTTCTGTACCAACAAAATTCTCACAAAACCAGTGGATCTCCCAAAGCCACAATCTGGAAATAGAAGTGTTCCTTTTGTGTTATCCAATACAAAAGAACACCCATCCTGTGTATATATTGGATGAATTAAGAATGTACTTGAAACCTTTTTTTTTGACAAGTAAAAATTCTTTAAAGATTCATTAAATCAGTACAGATAAACAACTGTTACAAGCTTCCCCAGTGGAGGCGCGAGGTGCAGCCTCACTCATAAAGAAAAAACAGCACCAGAATTACAACTGAGCCCAATACAACTGATCCCTATTTACCCTTTGCTTAGATAATGAATCAACCAGAGCATTAGCCTCCCTCCCCACCCATTGTATAATCAAACTCATCTGCTGTGTTAACCATCTGAACTTCTTCATTTCGTCTCGATAGCACCATACCACTGAATTCGGGTCTTTTATCCAGCCCACCACCACCTTGGACTCCCCTTCAATCACCAGGTTTTCCAAGTTCATCTCTTCTTCAATTTTCAATTTGAACACCTTGTAGGACCGCAAACAGTTCAGCCCTTATAGAGTCTCCATTCCCCATCGGTCCTGAAAAAAGTGCTACCAGATTCCCTTCCCTATCTCTTATGACCCCTCCAATTTCAGAAGGACCTGGGTTGCCTTGACTACTCCCATCAAAATTTAATTTCAAAAAATCTTCACTGGGAGGTGCTCACATCAGCCTTGTTTTAACCTTTTGTACTGAGCTAGAAGCTACTGACAACCAATTCTTCCAAATATCATCAAGGAGAACTGTCTAAACAGATTCAAAGTTAATAGCCAATGTTTAACTCTGGTCAATACACAATCCATAATTTCTTGTTTGCTTCTCTATTTCTCTTGGAAGATTCTAGCATTTCTTTCCTCCCATAAGGTCCAAATAATTGCTGCTCTAGTGCATGTCCACATTATTCTTCCCCTTCTCTTTGGCCACACAAAGGTAGATGGATCAAACAACATCTTAATCTCCATTGGCATGTTCCACCTGCATCCAGACAAAGAGAAAAACCAATCCCAAATATCTGCAGCAAAGGAACAAGAGATTAGTAAGTGGTAACAAGATTCACCATCAGATTTACATATTCGGGGAAATACACAAAAAAGGCCACTTCTTGAAACTTCCCATGTAAGGGATGCACTATCTTCCTTGAGGGTTAAGTAGTATTCTGTATGAAGATACTCTGAGCATTATTGTGTACATATTACATTTTGCATTCCTTTTTTGTTGACTATGGGGTGTTTTTTTATCCTTGTTGGTTTATCAAGGCCTGGCTTATTTGGCCCTTTTCTGTTATTATTAGAGATACAAAACACTATTTCAAACTTGCCAAATCAGTAGAAAAGCTACACTCATAGTTTTCAAGGCACCAAGGCGAGGCTAGGTGATAGGGGGGCGCCTTGTTGCCGCCTAGGCAATGCCTAGGCGAGAGATTTTTTTAAGTAAAACCATATATCTTAAGGTAGTTCCCTAGGTTCCATAACCATCTTTCCTTAATAATTATCCATAATTTTCATAAGAGAAGTATAAATTTCATGTTTAAGTCTAGAAAAATCAACATTTTATGAGAAGAAAAAGAAGGAAAGAAAATTCAAAAAATATAGGGACTGAACCCATACTTTTTTTATAGGAAAAGAAGAAAAGAAAATGTTGAAGAAGAAAATGTGTTGATTAGACAAAACTTTAAGTTCTTCCCTTGCTTATTGATTCAGGTTCTGAAATCATTGAGGATTCAATCAAAGATCAAAATTTTGATACGATACGCCCCGTATCGGGCATATTGTATTGTATCTTTGGGGTCCCGATACACCTGTTTATAGGTGTGTTCAGGAACACAATTTTTAAAATAATATATGGTTATATTTAAAAATGAAATTGAAAACCCAAAAAATAAAAGAAATAGAGGGAGTATCATTATAAGTACCGAACGCAGAGGTGTATCGATACTTTGAACCATAGGTTCAATAGAACAGTTAGCAATTTTTGTGTTGATTAAACCCTAACGAATAAGAAAATAATAAAAATAAGTTGGTATATAAACACATAAAATGGATATTCTAGTTTCATAATGTATATTTTATAATTATAATGTCAAAAAATTAAAAATATAAAAGTATTTTATAACACAGTACACAAAACTGTTTGGTGATTGGGTGAGGCGAGCCTCCAAGGGCGCCTTGTCGCCTAGGCATCTCCTTGACAACTATGGCTACACTATTCATGAATTACTATTAACTTCATTATTAAGATACACTATATAGGTAAGTAAGTTATCTTAAAAGTTTAGTATTAGAAATAAACCATATTTTCTACCACACTACTCGTCTATGCTTCTGATCTTTTTCAGTTGTTTGTTAGCTTTGATTGTGTTTGATTTGGATTTTATTTCTTACTTTATTCTTATTGTAAAGAAGTTGTATTTAACACACATATTCACTCATGTTAGCTGGAGAGAAAGTTTCTTATCTTCTTGATAAACATGAATTCATATCATTGGATTTTCCATACATAAATTTTGTTGAAAATATATTAGTATATGGTTAGGTACACTGTTGGGAAAATAACACCAATACAAAGGCGAGAAGTTCGCACATCAGACTTTGGTCCACGTGCAAGCTTTTGGATGAACTTTCCCAAGGAAGGATCTCAATTAACACCTCCTCACCAATCAGAGGATTTCAAGTGGAAAGACTATTGTCCAATGGTTTTCAGGTTAGTACTTATTTCCCTATTTTTGAAATTTTATAGTATTGTATGATAATAAAGGTACAAGAGAACAATTTATGCATATCTTAACTGTTTATAAAAAGATTATCAAAATCAGAAAAGTAAAAAGGACTATAATTTCTTCCCTTAAAGAATTTATGATTAGCCAGCCCACATCATTCATAATTATTTTGACCTCCTCTTCCATTTTGTCAAAATTGTGGAACAGTCTTCATTTTGTTTTAGTTATTTGGCCTTGTTGGACATTCCCAATTAATGTTCAAGCTTTTCTTTTATTTAACAATTTTGTTGGCAAGTTGGATTTTTCATCCATCTTTTTGAATTTATTGTACTGAGACACTTGTTTGCAGCATTGCTGAAGTTGCCTTTAATAATATTTCTAATGTTGAGTTCGTTTCCCACCTGTGCATAGAGGGAGTATTGCCTTTGATTGATTAAAGGCATTACCATAGTTCCTTTCCCACCTGTACATAGACTTCTGATGATATCTTTTGATATGCTATTTATCAGAAGAAACCATAGTGCTGCACCAATACTGTCCATCTCCAGTTAATTATAAAATTGAGGTTGTGAATAAATGGTTTGATTGTGGAAAAGATTATATGCTTCTATGACCAAAAGTTAGGGATTCAAACGGATCGAATTGGATTCGGATATACCCCTATCTGAATCTGATTTGATTCAATGATTCGACAGATCTTACAAAAAAGAATTCAAATTCGAATCCACTAAAGACGTCAGATCTGATCTGGTCCAATTCAATTACCCATAGGCTTGTAAAATTTATCAAATTAGTTATAGGAAAAAGAAGAAATAAAACAATCTATATGAAGAAAAACGAAAAGCACAAGGATTTCTTCAAATATTTTTTATTGTATTTTTACAAAACAACATAAATAATACAACAAATCAAATTAAAAAAAAATGCAATATATAGGATTGGATAGGGGGTGATTCAATTTTTAAATGGATCCTATTTCCCAATCCATTCCGATCCAAAAATCTGCAGGGGGAATATCCGAATCCAGAAAAATAGGATTATATTCGTATTCAAATCGGATCATGATCAATTCATTTGCACCCCTACCAAAAGTGATCAAAATCAAAGTTGGAGGCATGGGGAATTCCCTTAAGTTGTTGCTGCACTGACAGCCAGTATCTCAGGTATTCCATTTGTTCTAAAAAATGTGAGAATTCCTTTCACTCCAAGTTGACCATAAGACTATATAGAAGGGTGCCCTATCAGTGTTTTTTGCCTCTTCTACTAAGTTCTTTTAAATGCCAAATTGCCAACTCATTAATAGCTGCTCTGAGGTCTTGGGGGTGCACCATTTAAACCTGAAAATACCAATGAAGTAAGCTAAAGTGCTGCAGTAGTATGGTAATGAATAAAGAGATGACTAGGGTTTCTGTAGCACGGGAGCATATCATACAATGTGTATTGGTTAGATCCTTCTCCTTCCATTTGGATTGTTGACACCAGTTTATTACTTGGAAAGGATCCTAGACTGAGTTCAGTTTCCTAAGGAGCTTGCTGAGAAGGTCCTGGGTGAATCAGTGTTCTCAACCTGTCTTTGACCCAGATGGTTGAACCATTTGAACCATCACCTGGAAACAATTCTGGTTTGGATTAGCCCCAAATCTAGTAGTTGGTCAAAAATTGTTTTGGTCAGAGACTTATCGACCCAGATGGTTGAACTCCTAACCCACTTCTCCCAGATAATGGGTCATGGGTTATAATTTATAAAGTACATTATACTTTTTTATTTTCAGATTTAAATTAGTATTAATACCTATGTTTGTTCCCATAAAGAGTGGGCCTTGGCACAATGATTGGGTTTCTCCATTGCGACCTAGATCCATGCAAATGTATCTATGTGGGGTATCCATGAAATTATGTATTTATGAAAGTATTATTTTCTGCACATATAATTATATACATTTATAATTAGGGAAGATGTGCAAAAACTACTAGAGGCCATAACTTTGTGCTCAAGGTTTGGATTGTGGTGATTTTTTTCTTTTGATTTTGGGTAGTTTTTTTGAGATTCATGCAATGCAAGGAGCTGAAGGTGCCTTTGAAAGCCTCCTGTAGTGTCCTCTCCCCACACTATCAATCTGTCCAAATATCTGTCTCTATTTTTCTGTTAAAAGTTTTGTAGAAATGCATTTTTTCTGGAAATTTCTTTCATTTTTGAAATGCACTTATGGACCTTGAAATTGTTAATAAATTGAATATGAGAAAATGAATAATTGTGCATGTCTTATGTCGTTAACAATCAAAATATGCCTCTTGAGTTTCATTTACTCTTTTAACAGAAACTTGAGGGAGCTGTTCAAGATTGATGCTGCAGACTATATGATGTCCATTTGTGGAAATGATGCTCTTAGGGAGCTTTCTTCTCCTGGAAAAAGTGGTAGTGTCTTTTTCCTCTCTCAAGATGATCGATTTATGATCAAGACCCTCCGCAAATCTGAAGTAAAGGTGTGTGTGCATAATCTCTTTCAAACTTGACTTATTTCCATATCTCATGGGGTAGATAAAATTACAGTATTGTGAATGGAGCTGAACTTATGATACATTTTATTTCTTACAACAATTTACATTAGGTATAGCTTCTTTTCACATTTTCTTCATTTCTTCTTGCCAATTTTCTATAGTAGTGATTATCACTTGCTATATGTTTGGCAGTGAGTTTCAAACACCTTCCCAAAAAATAAAAAAAAGAAAAAAACATATAAAAGAAAATCTAAAACAAAACAAGAAAGTTTTTACCCCTTTTCTCACATTTGTTGGATGTAAGAACTAAATAAGATGGCATTGAGGAATGGAATTCCTAGAATGCTCAGAATATGTTATTCATTATCATGCACACAAGACCTTAAGACATTAATAAGGTGGTCAGGGCATTATGGATCATGTGTCATAGGGAAAAAAGAATGCAACATGATATTATATGTGATTTCTGTTAATTCCATGTTTTGTCCAGATTTGGGACTTGGAAATGAAATTGAGGCTTCCCGCTTCCCCTCTCCATCCTCATACTCCATTTGGGACCTTGCTTCGTATCATGATCTAACCTCTTATTTTCCCTAAAACACCCATGTTAGACTTGACTAGACATGGTTTAAGTTTTGGGAAGTGTTTGATACTTCGATTCTCCAAACCTCTCCCCATTTTTCTGATGCTGAATTTCGATAGATTGGGTACATATCCATATATTTGAATATGCTGAAGATAATTATACCCTGATAATGTTAACAATGTACTGCAATTAGAAGTTGTAAGTTAAAAGTTTGCAGTTAGCGTCCAACCAGGAATTCTTCTTTAACCCCATTTGGCATAGATATTTAATAATTAATGCATTATTACATTTTGAGTTTTTAGTTGTCATGTGGCAAGTTTAGTCATTGCATTTTTTGCTTGTTAATTTGTCCTTTTTTAGATACCAATTACTGGGATAAATCTAGATTCATAAGCATTACTTATTTGATTGATTGTACTCATGTATGTATTCGTTCTGCACGTATCTTATTTATATATTTGTATTGATTGGTGGGACCATCTTACCTGCGCTTCTGCAACCAAGGATTTTGTTGTCAGAATGTGACATAAGGCAGCAATGTGGCATTAGTTTAGTATAATATCCATTTGCTTCTTAATTTTTTATTTACGAGTTTCTGTGCGTTTTGGTATGTTGTATGCACCAAATGAGAATATGTAGAAGTAGCAATATTTGAGAAAGCCATATTATTTAATGATAACGACACTATTTATCCCATTATTCACATATTTTATAGAGTATTTGAAACTCATTTGAAAGCTTTTTATCTACTTAAACTTTATGAAAACGAAATTAGATACAAATACTAACTAAAAATTGTGAATTTTATTGTATATCGCAAGGTCATTTCTGTTTCTTATATATTGTCAGAAAACTAAAAAAATAATGAATGCAATAGTACAGGGTAAATTACACAGACCCCCTTGTATTTTGGGGTCTGTGACAAAGACCCCCCTGCACTTTTTTTTTGTGACAAAGACCCCCTGAACTTTGATAGTTAGACAAAGGCCCCCTTGGCTGTTAAGTCAGATAACGGAAGGCGTTAAATTACCAAAATACCCCACTAAATTTTCTCTATTTTCTTTTTCTTGCCATTTTCTCTTAAAACCCAACTGACCCCAAAATACCTTTGATTGTCACTGGAAAGAAAATATCTGACTTCTTTGGTGAGAAATCTCCGGCAGTGAGAAATCGAACTTTCTCACCAGTGATCATTGCCGGAAAAGTAAAAAATCTCCAAGAAGAAGAGATGCGAATCATGCGATACAAAACCCCTTTTTGCAGATTTAACTTCGTGAAACACTAAGTGAAAGTTTCTGTTTCATTTTTCTTTGTCCTTGATATTGGAGGTGGGATTTAGATGTTGCATGCGAAGGCAATACTCAGTCTCATAGTTCCATCCATATATAGATTCAATCACCGAAAATTACTATCCATTTAGAACTCTCAAGTAGAGACTGAGAATCCCATGAAAGTTGTTGATTGTGAAGTTTTTCCTGTTTTTTTCCCTATTTAAGCAAAAGCAAAGCTCCCTATCCCTACTTCATTTCTTTGCACTCTGGAATTTTGAAGGTGCAGAGTCCTGTTCTATTTTTTGATAACGCTTTCTTGAGTTGAGACACAAGACAGAATTTTACATTCCCTACTTCTGAAGGATGCATTCTGGGAAATGCTGTTTTGCAATTTCCTGGAATTTTGTTGCTGTTTTGCAACAGCAACAGAACAAGATCTGAAGGATGCATTCTGGGAGCCAGTGAACTATTACATTCCCTACTTCTGTAACTCAATAAGTGGCATTGGAAGGACAACTGTCCACCACTAGAACACTTGAAGATACTTGGGAAATGCTGCTTATGAGAGCCCTGAAATGAACTTTCCAACTGTGCAGCTGAATTACAATGAGAAAACCAAAATTTCTGAAGTTAACTGTAAATCAAAACCCTTTTCTAATTTATTCTACCTTTTTCTTTAATTTACACTTTATACTGTTGAGTATGAACAGTAAGATCAAGTGTGGTGAGTTCGTTAAGATGCACCAGTGTTGCAGGTAGTGGGCCATTCAGCTGGTTCTCACTAGCATAGAACTCAACGGAATTATTCAACGATCCAAAAAGGATGAGATGCCCTCACAAAAACCTATACAATTAAGTACAATAAAGACGTACAAATAGCTTTACATACAAATACAACCCTTGGCAAAAGAGTGAAGAAACAAATGTCAATTCAATCAGTTGAAAATCAAACCTTCTAATCTTCTTCATAGTTTCTGGACTAATCTCTGCATTTGAACAGGTCCCATCCCCTTCTTTAAGAATTCATTTCCCCACTTCAATCTATCTACAGTAACATCACCGTACCATAAAATCCCCTTGATCAGCAGTCCTAAATTCCTAATCCAGGCAACCAACCACTGTAATCCTCGACATTTGGAGCTAATGTCGCCCATAAGCTGAGGATTTCTCATCTATTATCTCCTTGTTCTCCTCTGGCAACTCGGATGGAGAGGTCTTCTTCGCCACCGACCATCCAAGACCGCAGACTTCCCTTTGCCAGAAACCTTCTCGATGGAAAAGCTGTTGTGGTGCTCTAAAATCCCACCAACCCATCTCTTCTCTTCCCTCCGTCCGGTTTCCCAAATCTCAATTCTCACCAGTGATCGTTGCCAGAAAAGGGTAATTTGGTCATTCAGAAAACTTTGAACAGTTAAAGTAGAATCCTTTTCAAAGTTAACTGATGGAATACTAATGGAGGGGGGTCTTTATTGCAAAAAAAGCGCAGGGGGTCTTTGTCACAGACCCCATAGTATAAGGGGGGTCTGCGTAATTTACCTTTTTTTTTATGAATAACAGAACACTTTCATCAAGATAAAAATATTAAAGGACAAGGAATCAGCCATACCAGTGGTTGAGATGGTCTAACACAGAGCTGTTCTAATCAGATAAACAACACATCTAGTAGAAATCCCATCCCCCAGAATAGAATCTCTCTTTCAACCTCTTGTCTTGCCAACCCATCTGCCAAACCATTGGCAGCTCTGTAAACCCACTGAACAGCAACGACTCTGCCTCTTTTTAGCTCAATGATCTCTCTCATAAGGTGTCTATACTATCAAGGACACTATCCTTCATTATGTACCCACTCCACCACCACTTTTGAATCTCCTTCAATAATGATATTGGTGAAATTGAATCCCCTTCAATGCAATAGTATATCATGTCTGTAGAAAACAATGATGTGGACCCCACACTGTGGTCCCCATTGTGTTTGTATGGCAGCACAGCATGTATTCTTTGTTAGTTATGTCAGTGTTAGTTGGTAGTTATTTCAGTTTGTTGTTACAGCTTGTTATTTCAGCTTTATTATTAGTTTATTTGCCATGTAAGCAATAAGGGAAATTCAGCCTTTTTACAATTAGTAAACATATAAATATTAAGAGTGGGTCGGCAGAATATACAATTTCGACCCTCTCTCTCTCCTTTTCTAAAACCCTTCATGTGCTTTTGCTTTTCTCCCTCTTTTCTTCTTCTTTTCTCCTTCTGAAATCTTTTCTTTTACTTTCGGATTCAAGATTGATTGTAGTCTTGATTGACTACTTGGTATCAGAGCAAGGATTAGGGTTTCTCATGTGAGTCTGATCCAGCCAACCACATGAGAGTTGCCTAGGGCTGGGAGACTAAAAAGGAGGATCGGCTGATTCTTGGAGGCTACTAGTAGTGTGCGGCTACTACTAAGAAGATTGTAGAAGGCTGGGAGAGTTCCAGTAGTCAGGAAGAATTAGAAAAGGCTTCGGATCCCCAAGATTAGGGTTTCACATTAGACAGAAGGCGGCGGCTAGAGATCTTCTTTCACAAAGCAAGTTTTTGCTTGAGAACAACCTAGAAAGAACCATCTTGGTCTATTCTGAGAGGTGCGGCTGAAAATTTTTTTCTCTTTAGGGTTTTGAGAGAAAACCCTAAAATTCAGAACTGTTGATTGGTTTCAGATCAGATCTGAACTGGGTTCACCCTAAAAATTCAGAACTGTCGATTAGTTTCAGATCAGATCTGAACTGGGTTCACCCTAAAAATTCAGAACTGTCGATTAGTTTCAGATCAGATCTGAACTGGGTTCATACAGAATTCTGGACTGGGTTCACCCTTGAAAGAACCACATGTTGGAAGCTGCACCCTCATCTAGTCCCAGCAAAACTGAGGAACAAAAGGGGTAATGCCCATATGGCTGTTAATACCGATTCTGCATCCTCATCGGGCACAAAAGGCACGCCTCTAGACACCTTAGCTGCTGTTCGGGCTGCCCTAAACAGTTGGAAAAGGAAGTTGGGAATTTAGCTCAATCATCTCAGTCATCATCAGCTCCTTCTACATCTGCCTTTGCTCATTCAGGTACTCGGGCCTCAGCTTACCATGCTTCAACTCCAGGT